CATCTGTCGCTATCTGTGATTATGGACTCGCATGGGTATCGTAAACGTTCAAATTCTCTTTGCAATTGCATTACGCCTCACTTCTTCATATTAAGTAGCATTATCTACGAACATGTCAGCCTTCTATGAAGTAAAAAAAATATATTCAACCGACTGAACTGTCCAACTCGCTAGCGCTTAATTCTCTCTCCTCGACGGTACCGGACCATAGCATTCGGAAGTATTTTTGCTGTTAACTGTTTTTTATTTTCAACGAAAACAGTGTTTTCAATCGTTCTAAATATCAGTATCCGGTGGGAAGATCGAATTTTGCAACTCATTCAATGTGCCGAAATTGCTAATTATTCGCAAACTGGTACAAACGAACGAACCAGAACTGCGAATTAAAAATGAACGACCTTACACGAGTTGAAGATGCAAAAGAAATATTTAGTTCACATGTTAATTGGTCGATCAGTGACGAATGAATTTGAATAGACTTGTCAGACGCAATCGTAAGCATGCGACTTTGTGTATATTAAGAGAACTTCCCTTTCCTAAGATTTCGCCTTTTTTTCTGGTGTTGAAACACTCCACGTTTCAAATCGTCCTTGAAATAGCGAGGAATACTTCACGGTTTTCAGTGTCTGCGATTGAAACCACCATAAATGTGGGTTCTGTTCTGTGGTTATCAGAATCTTCGAAATAAGATACATTGTGAAAGCCTTTGCCGAATTAGTAAGCTTTTGGGCATCCTTTTGAATGCAGATTGCCATTCGAGTCATATTTTTTTAACTCACTCAAACATGAAATCGCATCTCCAAGAAGAACGAACGTGCACGAAGAGAGCCGGCAACCAATGTACCTTAGATCAGTTTAAAGGCTTTCCTTAGTAAGTAACATCTTTGAAGAGCCCTGGAGTTAGCATGGTATTGCCGACAAAGACAAGGGAGACTGGAATGGACATACATGGCTTATTAGCCGTCGACAGCCAGTCATACCCAACCCCGAAGTGTGGAACACCCGAGCCTCGAACTCGCGACCTGTTGGTTTAGAAGTCAACGCCTCTACTCACCGGGCCACGAGCTCGTTGCCTGGAGTTGTCTATTTCGCTGACGGATGTCTGCCCACTATGCTGTTTTCCAAGGTTGAATGAAATCAAAAATTTGGACGTTTCACTAGCTCCTTTGCACCACTGAAATTTGGTGATATTTTTTCTAATACAAATAAACTAATTCGCTTCTCCCTCGTTTAAAGCCTTTTTCACCCTTTTGTTTTCTTCTGGGTTCCGTTCTAAACGCGTTAATCCACAACTAAGTGGCCGCATGAATACTAATTCCTTGCTAGGACAGCTTATCTTCTGCTCATTTTGTTCCTAACTTTTGCATTAGTGGAATCTGGACCATACAAAACTATCTAGCTATCTATGCTTAAATGTTAACAAAGTTATTTGGTTGAGGACGTTTTGTGGTAAGTTACTGGGTACTCGTAAAGGGCAGGAAGATATCGGAAAGTCATTTACATCCCGGTTCACGTGACAAACATGGAGAAAAAAACCAATTTTTAAGCACAGCAGCTTATGTGTGGTGAACGTCTCCAGTTAAGATTACTCTGTTTTCATAGAAAAACCGGCACAGCTGCGCTGATTTAAACTAGGACAGCAACTGGCATCAAAAATGCCCGAATAGTAGATAATGTAGATTGTCGTCCAAATTTGTAAATAGTAGATCTTTTAGAATTATGCTTAAGTATACTTTGAAAGTGAAAAAAACATTTTCGGAAAGGAAGCTAGCGAATAAGTAAAATGTGCAACATTCTAGGTGTATAAACTTGATCATCTCAGTTTTCACCATCACATTTCACGAGTTAGGTTAGATACTGTATGCAAAAACATTTCCGACTCGATCGACTACGCTATCACTTATTGCCATCAAAATAACGCTTCATCCATTTAAGGCGCCTTCGGCCGTGCTTTTAAAGCCATCGTTTGGTCTGCGTTGATACAAAGTCCAAAGGAAACTAAGTTGTGTTTAATGCGGCATTTTCCCTTAAGCATAAATCGCGTAACCAGTCTTTTAAGAGGACGGCATTCTACGCTGGAGTTTAGGAAGAGTTAACTGGCGCCTGACTGTATCTTCGAGTGAAAACACTGTATTACTAGAATTACAAACCCTTTATCTTGCGGCAAACTGCTAAAGCTCTTTCACGTAATACAGAATACGACGACATTTTTGGAATCCTTGTAGGCCCTAGAGCAAAGCACATCCAAAGGAACTTCCTTATTTGCGTAGGATGCTTGTCTTTCTTTACTTTTGAAAGATAGTTAAACTGATTCATATGTCCTAGAAATTGTATGAAAGCTGGCCCCCTTAAGGGGTCGTTCTGCGGACACGTGTGTCTCCCTGAAATGTGACATTCCGGATTATTGGACTTCTTGTATTTCATAGGTACGTGATTCTCCTATCGCTTGATAACTTCGTATGGTACTTGTGTCCCCCAGAGTATGTACAGTAGATGTGCTAACTTATAGTATGTTTACCGAAATTCCGAAATGCCTTTTTCCTTCGATAAGATTATATACGGAGAGTCGTAAAATTCACCGTCAAACAGCATAATTCTATAATAATTCACTTTCCTCCGGGATTTCGGCTTTCAAACAAATTTTATTCCGGTCGCATGCGAAAACACATTTTGTAAAAAATGGCTACTTAACTAGCATGAATTGTTTTTCGTCGATTTTCGATGTCCTTATAAATTTAATTATATTTCGTGGAAAACATGCATAAGAATATTAATTACATTTACTCATTTCGTATAAAATTACTTTTTCTTCCAATTGAGTGCTCACAGAAAGGGTATATTTCGGTTTTCGAAAACTTTTCCAATTCGCGAATAATTTTGAACCCAACCTGTTGTTACACTTGCATTCAGGGTTTCCAAACTACAAGCCGTATATTTCCCGCGCACGAAAAACTAAATTTCTCTACGGTATTAAGGGGGACCATATAGGGTTCATTAAATTGGGCGGTGGATTTTTGCTATATTGTAAACTTTACAAGCCACACTAGCAAATGCAGAGACACGATTTTTTATGAACGGACATTTAACTGTATTAAAAGATCTTATATTAAGGATCTTAGAGTATAAAATTGGAAGAAAACGTAATTTAGTACTAAATCAGTAAAAAGAATGAATATCCTTATGCATGATTTCAATGAAATATAATTGAATTTATAAGGACATCGAACATCGACGAGAAAAATTCACACTATATAAGTAGGCTTTTGTTGCAGAATGAAGTTTTCGCTTGCGGTCGGAAAGAAGTGCTTTTGAAAGTAGACATCCCGAGGTAACTGAATCATTATAGGATTATGCTGTAACCTTGCTAAAGTAATGTTTTTTAAACGCAAACCAATTACAGAATTTCGGTAAACATTTCATGAGTTGGCACACATACGGCAGGTTTATTTGTCATGCCCACAGCGTGTAAAGTGGGATACCTGCTGGTGACGACTTGGCGGTGAGATTGTGCTCAGAGCGTCACAATCGTCAAGCCAAATTCCGTTTTTTAGGAAAGCGTAGAAGTCACCAGAATGAGAGTTTCATTATATAGAGAACACTGAGTTGTACTCTCCGGCGGCAGTGCCCGCTTGCGAAACCAGAGATGGTGCTGACTGTGTCCCCAGTTATGCCTGAAAGTTCTTTGAGGCATTGCTAGCTGCTGCTTCTGTAGGGCAAGTTTGAATGGTGTTCAAGTGTTGTTTTGCCTTTGACGAGGCGTAGTGTTTGAGTAGCTTGTGTTGCGCTCGTGGGAGTGTGGGGTGGAGTATGGTGTGTTACTTGGCGCATGAGCAGACAGACTCTGGAACGCCACAGTTTTTCCTAACGCGCTGCCGGTTATCCACCGGCACCACGGCCACCTCCCAACTCTAATCCTATTGGCCAGTTGGATGACGGCTATATATGGCAGTTTGCGGTCTCGATCGCCCTAGTGGCAAATCCTCTGCGTTATGCTACCTTTTATTGTCATGCTTACCCGCATTAATTTCGCGCATTAATTTCCTCGGAAATTAAGCAAGGCAAGTTGAAACTGGAGTTCATATACCAGAAAACACACGGGGAAAGCTGGGGGACCCACTGACGAGCCGAACCCCTCGCAGCTGCGTAGGCAGCGGCACAAGATCGGCGAAACACGCGTGTCTGGGCTTTTAGCTGATGCCTGTGTTGTTAGTACGGTAAATTATTGCACAATGCTATACTACTGGCTGCCTGTTGGCGGTTTGTGAATATTAAGCGGTTATTTCGCAGTAGCTGATGGATTTCGGCTCAAATATTCATATCAAATTTCGGACCGTGCCTGAAAAGGCCTGTTTCGAAAGAGTTACTCCAAGTTCGCGCATTAATTTCCTCGGAAATTAAGCAAGGCATGCTTACCCTTGCCCATTGGTCTATTCATCAAACCTACCCGCATCTACTTGAGGCCCCATAAATACCGAGGACAGTTGATGTCGGGGTACCTTGGACTGGAGAACGCATCTTCGACGCCTCTACACATCATTACCGTTCTCGTTTGTCGGATCAACCAAGGTCGTGTCCAGGCCAACCAGTCCATGTTATAGGACCTATCCTGTCTGAACTCCAGCCGTCTTCCTATCGTCCTAGATAATCCCCAATCTTCCCCTTAGGTCACTGTCTTTTGTTCTTATTGTGGGTCGGATAAGAAAGTTTCGACACTTTCCCCGGTTGGGCCGCTTATAGTGCGTCCGAGTTGAAGTCGGTCGAGTAACTGCTGGTCAGCGCGTCCGGAACCACTTAACGACAATGAGTCAATGGGACCTTGAAAGAGGACGCAAGGCACGGCCATGACCTTTCGAGAATCAGCGGTCTGTGCGAAGCTGATATACAGAAATGAAAGATAAGTCCATAAAAACAGCCGTCCTCTGACGCCATCCTATTCCCCAACCTGTCCTCTCATTATCTCAAGCATCAACTTTTAACATTCCTGTCGTTCAGAAGAAGAGATGCTCGACCACAGGACTCCACGGCGTCCTACGAATCAGCGCTCTAGAAGCGTGGGCAGACTAGGACCAACAACACGCCTTGTAGCAACAGACATCGTCTTCGCTCCTCCAGCACAGACCCCAGATGACGATTCCGAAAACATTGGATCGAGAACTTCTAGTGTCTTCCTGTGTTCCTACAGCACAACACCTAACCCGGCATCCCCTGGTGGCGTTTCACCTGTTGAAGCTTTGATGGAACGAAAGCTGTGTAAAACGTTTCATGCACTCTTTCCTACCGGTGGGCAGCCCGCGCAGACATCTCCAGTCTCTAACAGCCAACTTTCCGTCGGAACACCTGTCTTCTTTCCTGATTATCGAGCTGGGTTCCCAGACTGGATTGAGGCAACCGTAGTAGCGCACAGAGGCAGCATGTTGTTCGATGTCGACGTTGGTGATGACGTCTGGGTTCGCCACCACAACCAGATCCGATGGCGACATCGCAGTACCAAAACTGGGCTCGAGTCGGTGCCGTCACTCCCTCTTGACATCCTACTGGATACGTTCGACATTCCGACAGATCGATCGGATCCCAAAACCACTGCTGCGCCTCCTTCGGATGTACCGCCATCGGTATCAGTCACTGCCCCCGTGTCTCCAGACAATAAGCCACGACTAATACGCCGGACCAACCGCGTGGGCCAATCAGCACGGCTGATGCAGGTCAATCCACGCCAAAAGCGGTAGTGATCTACTTGAAGTGGAGGTGTCGGGAGTGCGTACACTCCCAAAAACGAGAGCCAGCCAATCACTAGAGGCCACGTGCGTTTTCTCTACAGCGCCGTCATCTTAATCGTGGCGCCTCTCCATTGGTTTTTCCTCGCGGGCCTGATCGATCTGCATTTTCGAATTATCGACCAGGTCGTCTGGAATGTTCTTCCCGAAGGGCATTGGGCCGAATGCCGGCGAACCACAGTAAGGCGTTATAAATATGCGTTACTTCTAATTAATCTTGACTTGCAACTTCATAATACACATTTTCGTGGCCAGTCGCATTCTCCTTCTCTGCCGCGTTGGTATTGGGGACAAGAGTGGGGTACACATACGCTCCCACGTGCCTTGAAGTACCAGTGCGGGTCATAACATCTAGGAACACGAAAGATGAAGAGTACCGTTGCCCAGTCTGCCGAAAAGGAGCGTTCGACAGTCATCATGAGTAAGACCAAATAGCGGATGAAACTAGAATGCATCTTAATGGACAGGGAGTCTTGTACGCTCTTGGCTGTTAGCGAGCTCAAAAATGCCATGAACAACATATACACTAGACGATAGGAAAGTAGATGAAGGCGCGTACTTTCATGCGAATGAATGGACCGATCAAAAAATCCCCTGATACTGCCGTGGCGCGCTTTTACGGCCTGCCAAAGATGTAAAAGCCCGGAATGCCCCTACAGCCAATAGTCTGCTTCATTGGCATCTCAACCGTTGGACTGTCAAAGTGGCTGCACCATCGATTTTGCTGCCTCGCCAAGGATACACAGTGGACAGCGAACTCTGCTGAAGAGCTCTTGACAGCCATTCAACACTTGGCAATGGAGGTAGATAACCAGTTGGCCATCGGCGTACAAGTTACAAAGTTGCAGACGTGAAGATAAGAACAGCTGTCCTTCATAAGGCAACTAGCACTAGGACATCCTCAATCACAGAAGCAACCGCCTCGTTGATCTCAAATGCATTTGCATCAGAACACCTTCTAATGTGTTTAAATACACTGTAGCGACAAAAATGGGCGAAAAGAAGAGACTAAATGGAAGCTCTTTTTAAGCCAATGACTATTTAAAATCCATCATATGGAAGTGTCTCAGGTGGAAAACTCGCTGGCTAATCCTTATATGAAGAGCAGTTTAGAAGTGAGTGCAAGAGGCCTATGACCTTTTGGGACTGGAATTGCACGCAAGCCGGGATCCACAAACGGACAGCAAATCGTGAGTTCAAAATACCCGCTATCTGTTACATAACAAATATTAATGGTTCACAGCGTACCGTTCCGAAATTGTGATACAAGGTACCCACAACTTCAAGGAAAAGGCCTAAGTACAACCAATTCCTTAACAATCTGAGCTACGAGGATCCACTGTTAACCGTGAAGTTAATCACTTTTGAGTTAAGCTGACCGCCGATCCTGCCGTAACGTACGGTCCAAAATAAGTTATTCCAAATCTGCCAAAATACCTATTAGTTGGCAGTATGTTGATGAAACGGGTAAACTCCTTGACACAGAATAGAACGGACACCAACTTGCAATCAACCGCAAGGATAAACTGGCCCCCGCCTACGGTCACGTGCAATTGCGGAACCCTCGTTTCGTCCTTGAGCAATCGAGAGTGATTGATCGAGATAATGACAAGACGGCCAGAACGGTGCTCGAAACCTAATTGCGCCGTTGGTCCTGCATTCCGCCTGCCAGGCGCCACACGGAAGGCTCGAATCAGACAGGCGATAGAAGTCTTGCGGGTTGGACAGCTAACCCGCGCGGAGAAGAGGCGCCGACCGGAAGTCATGTAACCACCGACGAGGTCATGGGGCGAAATCAATATTCAACGACCAATTAGTCTGTCAAGACATCGAAAGAAGACAAAAATCGATCGGCAAATGACCGACTAATAGGGCCGTTTGTTGAAAATTCTGGTCAATTTTTTTAAGAAAATCGCTTTGAGAATGAAGACCCGACCAAGACCCCGAAAGGTCAGCCATGATATTCGTCTGATGTGGTGGACCGTACAAACTTCTCACATTATCGACCCGGATCTCCTACGTTTGTTAATCTGGACATATTTGAATCACCGCAAATGGCCGCCCACGCCTTCCGAATGGGTCACGAGCTTAACTTCAAAGACAACAAGATAATCGCTAAGGACAGTTCGACCGTCGTTGTTGACGATGTCCTCCCTGCGCTCCACAGAAAAGAAGAAGAGGGCACGGCGACTTGTGCGTGAATTAGTTTATATTTATAGAAGACTTGCACAGTATCTTCCGCACTCTCTGCTCCCCCATCTCGGCCCGTTGTAAAGGCAGAGTCAAGAAGACCGGGGGCAGATGAGGGCGCAGGTGGATGGCACGCTCAAACCCGCACCTTGGCGCTCCACTTCGCACTCCCGAGTCCACACAGAAAACGGCCAACAACAATGGTGGAACGGCATGGTTCGCAGTGTGCGTGACGGCTGCCGGCAACCGGGTCTGCCACCACACCCTGAAATTATGGCGTTTGTTATGGTGCGCAACACTAAGAAGAAATAGACGCGATCGCCGGAACAAGGGCCATAATCGCCCGACGTTCCGGATTCGTGTTCGAAACCATCCTCAGAGACAGCATCGGACACGGACAATTTATGCACAGGGCTTAGCAATATTTATAGGGTGCAGTCGCTATGCTACCACATACGTATAAAAACTGAGGACTCCCCCACTCACAGAGGACGATTGTCCTTGCAGCGGTAAGTGGTTGGTGGGCGGCATTCGAGTTGTTAATTTTTGCAATCTAATCAGGCGTGTTGGATGTGGGCGTAATGGTTACTCGACTATCTGGCTCACCGACATTGACATTGAAAATGTACTGGTCTGGTGAGAAATAATCGAAAGCACTCGTATGCTCCTCGAATCCTCTTCTGAGTTGTTAACAATGTTGCATTCACGGTCCGCGCGTGGCTAATTACTCTGCCCTAGCTACTTCTCAACGGTGAATGTGAAGCGGGAGGCCATTGCATTTGCCAAACAGACGAGGGCCAGTGAACCATGACCCAAACAGTTGGCGGCTCACGAGATTGCCATCTTTTACGAGAATTTCGGCCTCTTTAAACTTAGATGTGTGGCCGGGTCCCGTCTAATGAGCCGCGACCTGGGAACTGGCGTCATTTCTCCGCACTGTTGCAGCATGGCCGGCGGATCGCGTCTGGAGCAGGCTTCCAGTTTCTACGACGTGGTTGCTTTGCTCGCAACTGCAGCAGATTCGAAAGACGACTCCAGACCTGCCATGGTGTGACAGTAGCTCTTTTGGTCTCATTATCTGGCGCCTGATGATTGCCTCCGGTCCGTGTCCAACTCCAACACAAAGCGGTGCGAGAAGGCGGCCGACAGCTTTCGAAGCGTTCTTGACATACGGAGGCCCTCGTTAAAATTTGGGGTCCATACGATATTGGCTTTTCGTCTCTTTTGCGTATACACCGGTCGACAAAGTTGCGCGGGTAGCTATTTGCTCAGAACACCCGTCAAAGGTATTGTAGTTCGGCAATCTTGTCTTGTGGTCAATTACAGTACGTTTCAACCCGCCGATAGAGTGTCCTTACACAACTGTGTTTGCGGCTGTCTGGGTGGTTACTGTTGAAGTTCAGTACTTGCGTCGTATCTGTCGCTTTCCTGAGCAATTTTGTCTTTATGTCACCGCAATGTTTTCGGCCTACAAGGACATTCAGGGAAGTGAGTTGGTTGCTCTCTTCCTCCTCCATCGTAAATTGTATGTCCGGGAAGACCGCGATGAGACGTTCTTTCAATGTCCGTAGTTGATCACGACTGATTCCTGAGACTGATTTCCCGCATCTATTGGCATATTTACTTCATTTTAACAAATCTGAACGTTATTAGTAGGCAGTAAGAATGCATGAAACGTGCACGCACGAGGTTGTATGCAGAACGCGCAGACTAGCTATTTAATTGTTCCATACACTGCAATTGAATCCACTTCCGGTTGTACCCACTCTTGTTTGAGACCGGATCCGAGCGGTCGAAGGAGAAGAGATAGCGGCAGATGCCGCGCAAGTCTGCCCTTTTGTTCTCTAAAAACTTGTCACTTGTTTGCCAAATGTGTGTGTGACAAATGATCACAGTCTTTTTGACTTTATCAGCCAATACGTTCAATCCTTTCGGCGGTCCTCTTGACTATGTCTAGCCACGCCGCACAGGGTGGTAAGGGGGGAAAGGTACGTTGATGCTGCACAAATCGTCCTTCGCGATGGTCTGACTGACGCTACACCGCCAGCCCAAAACGAACCCTCACCTTCACAAACTTCCTTAAAACTCCTCCCGGTTGCTCGTCCTGTTATTACGTCCCGATGAGGACTCGGGAACTAGTGGCTTGGTGTTGAGGTATATTCAGAAAAGCGGGCCGTCCTTCCTAAGGCTTTCTTCTAAAAAACCAGCAACATAAGCGATAGAAAGCGAACATGAGACTCTCGTCGGCAACGGTAGGGTGTAGGACCCACAGTTAGAGGGCAGCTACAAAAATTTACCCTAAAATTTAGTTCGACAATAAGCATCACTTATCATCAACCGTCCCCATTGTCTGAAATTTCCTCCCCCTCCTGCCTAAATTCAAACATACTAACGGCGCTTTATTCGGAGTCCCTTATTTCTTGAAAAAATGCTTTTGTTTATTTTTTGATTATCGCGCTCACCTCCTTTGCGAAATGACAGCATACGATAAAACTTTTGGCAGAAATTTATCTATTTTCGGCGCCTTCTTACTCTCCGTCCTGTGTGCTGTTCCACCCGTAAAACCTCCTCTACCACTAATCAACGTATGACACGGTCCACAGGCTAGTTAAATTTAGTTGTGGGTCCTACTCCCTACTAGTGCTCTCTCTTTTCACAAACTGCTAGAACACGCTGTAAGGTGTTTCCAGTTAAATGACTGATTATTTTACTTTTAATTTAGCAATTTTAATTTGACTATTTATCCTTAATTTTTTTATTCC